AGACAAAGCCAGGAGGTCAAGCCATTGGACAAAATGAACAAAGACTGAGGATATGAGGTTTACTATAGTGTGAGTATATTACTTTCACTACAAATGAAGGGAAAGTGGAGGGGAACAAATAGGGGATTAAATCAAACCAATGTTTTACCTAACAAAGGAAATCTTCCTTGTGGAGCTCAACAGCCAGTGGTCAAGCAAGGTTAGTTGGTGAAAGCAGGGGAATAGGTAAGATGTTCAAAGAACTTGTCAGAACTCTGTGTTTGCCTTCATTCTTCCTCTAGCAATGGGTATGATAATAGAACCTAACAAATACTGCAATAAAACCAGAGCATTTTTGCTTTAGCCTTGGGAGGGGTGAAGGGAAACATGAGGATGACTAATGAAAGAGTTACACTGACTCTTTCCTGTTTTATTTTCCTTCTGTGTTCACACAACAGCCAGGAACAAAGAATCACTCAATGGATACTACCACTTGAACTGTAGGGAGGAATCCCAGTCAAATCTCTCATGCAGTGGGCTACACTCTGCTTTACACCACTGCTATATAGTCTAGCTTTATCCTCTGTGACCCAGTTACAAGTGTGTGCACGTGTGTGTATGCACACATATGTACATGGTTGTTTAAACTATTGCTACACTACATCAGTGTGATGGTTGTGATTTTTTTATTATTATTTTTATTTTAAATAGGATTGTCCCCCTGTAAAGGGCAAATAAGTATAAAAGCAGTCATGGTCTTCCTTTACAATTATTTCCAATTCAAAAGCTATTGTAAATGAGGTCTCAGAAAGAAGAAAGACAAGTCCAAGACATAATGCTAGAAAAAGGTCAACAGCTTACTCTACTGTCACAACTTTGCAGATTTCTGCTGGCATGCACCTGAACTACTTAAGTAGTAGCCCCTTCACCTCTTGTGGACTGAGTTCCTGATGTTCAGTATGATAGGTACCAGGTAACCAATAGTGCAAAAAGAAGCAAAGCATAATCTGCATTCAGTTTCCTTCATAAAACATAATTTGGCATTCTATATGCATGTCAGGCAATTAAAGGAGGCAGCACAAGCCTGAGTGTTATAGCCCTGTTAATTTACTAATGCAGAGTCTCGCATACATCTGGCACATGTCACTTCTTTTCTCCTGGAAACGAAGGTGGTTTTCCAGGAGACTGGAGGGCAGCTCGAGCAGTTGCTTCCTGCCTGATGCTTCAAAATACTATGCCTGAAGTTCCTCATGCCATTTTTCAGTCTGACTAACTTAAGTCCGCTGACTTAATCCCATGGTTCCAATTTTCTTCACAGCATGGAGTTTAACTCGACTTTAACTTGCTGTTTTTAATTCCTGGCCTAGACAGTCCTGGCCCTAAACTGCTGGGTAAGGTCACCCCTACCCTGATTCCTTACATCCCTTAATTCTACTTTTTACTATAGAAAAAGTGATGGCCTTCCCTAGTTGAACAGATCAACCAGAAGACAAGTCAACCTCTGCAGACCTGCTTTGCTGAAGTCTTTCCCTGATCAAGACAGCTACCTGTCAAGATGCTACCTTTAAGGAAAATATACTACTATTCACAGGAGATTTACGAATATTCAGTGTCATAGGCTCCAATTCCTTCAACTGCTATTAATTTAGTTGTAAATCTAAGGCACATCCAGTGGGTAGCAAGGACTCTACAAGATGAAACCTTAAAATCATCCTGCAAGGAAGGAAAAATGGTAGCAAGCATTGCTGTTGTAAATGTGAGGTAGCATACACACTTAAGGACTTCCCTCAAGCCTACACAAAGCAAAGAGGTCCTCTCTCTGGGAAAAGAAACTGCCTCAGGCAGAAGCCTCTTCACCTCCATTCCT